TTGGCTCCTGGCCCCCTTCTTTCAATCTCAAAGTCTTGCATCTCTCTGACCATTATTCCATGGTCATGTCTCCCTCTGACTCTCTCTCTTCTGCCTTCTATACCCACTTTTAAGGACCCTTATGATTACACTGAGCCCACCTAGATAATGTCCTTAACTTAATCATATTTTCAAAGTCCCTTTTGCCATGTGAGGTAACACATTCATAAGTTCTGGGGATAAGGATGTGAACACTTTTGGAGGGTCATTATTCTAACTACCACATTAGGATATCTACACACTAAACAAGTAATTAGCAAAGTGTGGTCCCTAAACAAGCAGCAATGGATTCAGCTGGAAACTTGTTTGAAATGTAAATTCTTGGGCCAAACCCAAGACTTATAGAATCAGAAACTTTAGGAGTGTCACACAGAAATCTGTATTTTAACAAGTCCTTCAGGTGATTCTAAAGCAAAGTCACATTTGAGGAACACTGCTCTAAGCTCTCAGCCAATGACCACCTCCAGCCTTGAGCAGCCTTGCTTGTCTGGTCATTTACTACTATGTGTTGTATAACATACCAGGTGTGCTGAAAAGAAGTTGAGAAACTTAGGCATAAAGAATTCTTACTCCACCTGGGAAACGGAACCTGTTACTTTTTAGTCCCTATCACATTTTTTTTTTAAACTGGGTCGTGAATATAGAGAACCAGTTCCTTTAAAGGAGAACCTGTATACTCTATCAAATAATTAAATAGAAAGCTAGAAAAAGAGTGAAAAGAAGCTTAAAAATTGTGACTGTGTCACATAATATAGCAAAAGAAGTATAAAATAATCCTGCCCAGAAATCTTTTAGAAGTCTCTGTTTAAAATATCGTAAAACTCAATGTAATGCTGGCATAAGGGAGCAAACTTACTAGCTACTTTCAACTGTTTTCTACATTATAGATAAAAAGATCTTTCTATAACATAAAGTTAGAAAACATGATATGGGATGCAGCTAATAATGGTTTCTTTCAATACATATAAAAAAAATCCTCAAATACCAACCAAAATAACAGCAAAAATAATAGCACTTATATAGTAGTTCTTAGTATGTTCCAGGCACTGTTCTATTTACTTTACATGTGTTAATTCATTTAATCCTTACAACCCTATGAGAACTTAGGTATCTCATTTTACTGATTTAAAAAACTAGGGGGCAGAGAAGTTAAGGAACTATTAAAAATCACACAGCTCATAAGAGGCAAAGCCAGAATTCAAAATGAGGTGTTTTGGCTCTAAAGTCCACCATTGAAAAGAAATTTTCAAAACTATAAAATAGGCATCTGGGAGTAAAAAGTCACATGGAAAAGAGAGAGGTTGGAATGATGGTAAAACCAGCTAAGAAGATTGAGCAGAATGAACTCTAGAAACTGAAAAGAAATTAGAGTCCTCCATACCTAGAAGTTTCTGGGCATAGGCCAGGATTCTAAGATCCTGATTTAGATTCAACCACTGAAGTAGATTAAAAGTGATTTCCCAATACCCCAAGCTACAAAGAAAATATCAACCTGATTGTTCAGGTCTGGAATTCCTTTGAAGAGAAGAGAAAACATTTTGTTTCAGAAATAGGAAAAAAAAAAATGTAATGTTAATTGAGAACACCAGTTTACAGAAATTCATTCATTCTAAAGTGTAAGCAGCCAATCAGAGAAGTGATGAATATCGTACATTTTTTTTTGTTGTTGTTCTGATAGAGGAACAGACTTCCTAGAGAGAGAAAAATGTGTGTCAGCATTTAAAGAAATGTCCACACATTAAGAAAAATGAGTAGAAACAAGTAGACGGGGAAGCAAAAGACAAATCTCAACATCATAGTTTTGCTACATTTACATCAATTTGAAGAAGAAAAAATAGATTTTGACATTTATGAGACTTTTGTGATTTTCAAATTCAAGAACACTAATAGAAAATACATTTTCCCCACAGAAGGATGCATATAAAGTAAGTGAAAGATGTATGTCCATTTCAGACCTTAAATGGAAGTTATTGTGACAAGTAGAGAACAACGAAGACTCATTAAGACATGGAGGCTGAGTGGTAAACTCTGCTCGATAGCTAAATAATTCACTCACGCAGCAGCCTCTCCTTCAAAGTAATTCAAATTCTTGCCATTTCAAAATCACCTTCAGGGCTGCTCACGAATTGTTCAAACTATAAATGTTAAATCTACCATAAGACTTGTGCAGAGGGTATTTTTTATTTTCTTGCACTGCAAATTCAAGGTCCTCTGATCCCTATAATCTATGAAGATGTTATTAAAACCTGTTTATTTTGTTTCATTCCCAGATGAAAATAACTGCCATCACTTTAAGGTTTAAAGTAGCATCAAAATAACCTGATAACCTAATACCTAAAATTAAAAATTAAAAATCCAATTCCAGGCTCTCATCATAGAGTTAATGAAAATCTCTGGGAGCAAAGCTACAGAATCTGTAGTTTTAATAAACTCCCAACAAGGAAGCCCAGTAAAGGATTTCATGCTGTCCTCTGAGATCACTGAGACATACTCAACATTTTCAGAAATTTTCACAAAATTTAACTATTCATTATTTTATACTGAATATTAACTTTTATTAGCTAATATAATAATGCTAATATGTCAATATATTTCATTAATCCAATGTAATTTTCTGAAGTTCGCTTTATATATATATATATATCCAGAATCAAAACTCACTTTGTTTATAAAGCATAAGTAGTTAACATTTTTAATATAATAAAGCATCAACTTCCAAACAGCAAAATATCAAAATCAATCCCAGTCATCCACTAATAATCCCCATACTGCTATCTAATCCATATATTTCAGAACAGTATAGCAGTTGTATGAGCAATAGTGTAAGGATATTAATTCAAATGGAAGAAATATCTTTTGGCATTATCATAGGCTAGCTGTCACTGTGCCAGTCTTCAGTTCATGCATGGCTTTTTAGAAAGATATTAAGTCTTATAAAACCACACACAAAAAAATAGTTTATCATCTCATATAATCAAGAATTCCTATAACTCACATCTCACTTTTTGGTTACACATGACATTACCATTCTTTTTTTTAAAAAAAATTCTTCTCATTTCTTTCACCTTATGTCCCATTCTCTTATCTCCAAAAATACCTCCCTTAACTCTTACTGACATTATTATGAGTCACCTGTGCTGCAAATTAAATTAATATCTAGCTTTTCAAGATGACCCAAGTTTCTTATAAGTTCTCAATAGGTATTAAATTCAAATAACCTATATCTGTATGAAAAGAATGACTGTCATTGAGAAGACCTTATATGTTTATGGTAAATTTACTTAAGATGAGTTCACATGTAACATCTCATAGAAGATAACCAACTCAAATCAAATCAGAATGATGCCTAGGATGGAGGAAGAAAAAACAGTAATTCAACAATCATTCAGTAAATAGCTAAATAAAAAGTAGAAAAGTAAATACTGACCAAACTTAGTAAGTTTTCAAATTTTGTTTTGAAAGAAAGCTATTTAAAGAAATAATTATATAATATTATTTACCACCATAGAAAATTATCCTGAGATAATAAGCTACATGGTAAAATAATTTGAATTTAAAATACAAATAATCATATTATGCAGATAAGAAAAAGATTTCAGCCCATTTATTTCATCATGATAGAACTGTAAATAAACAATAATTCGAATAGTAAAAATACAAATAGAAGGCTAAAGAAGTCCTTCATAAATTAACAATACAGTTCAGTAGAAATATTAAGTTTTCTCATTTATTCATTTAAAATGTGGCAAAAATGAAGAAACACATTTTGGAATACAATGGCGGTTAAATCAAACCCATTAAGAATAACAAGTTTTGCTAGGAAGATTTGATGAAAGAACTCTATATAAATTTATTACATTTTCTTTGCTAATTATTCTAATAAATATCTTATGTGGGATACAATAAAAGGTACTACACATAAGCCAAGGCTATGAGTCCATTAATACACCATGTATAAAATGGATAATTATATTTTAATTATTCTTATAATTTCAATAAAATATTTTAGTCACGTATATTTAGTTAAAATTTTAAACTTTAAAAACATTTAGACTGAGGTTTTATAATCTATTTTTAAAAATATAAAGCTACTAAATCAAAAAACATAAGATACAAATCAAGTTCTATGAATAAATATTTTAAAATTAAGTACTCTAGGATCATAACACTGACAACACTAATTATCTTTTCTAGTCTTGGCAGTTATGTTGCATACTGTTTGGGTGACTGATGGGATAATTTCACTTCATTTTCTCAGTTTATTCTGGATCGTGTAAGAGAAGAATATTAAAATAATTAACACCTCTAAACAAAGTACTTGATAAAGTTTTTAGTTGAAATAAAATGCTAAAAAATTCAATCCACTAATGCACTGATTCTAGAGCAAATAACTCCCCATGTGCTAAAGGAAAACTTGACTAAGAATCACTGATTTTTAAAAATAAGTCATCCAGTACTAGTATTAACTACTGTAGGACTTTTACACCTTAAGAACACATACTTTCCCATCAGCAGTTTGAGCTAGCATTATGTTAGTTATTAAAAATGTTGTCTACATATTTTTATATTAAATGTTTTATTTATTCACCAAAAACATCTCATCAGCAGCAATCAAAGCAATCATAAACAGGTAAAATGTATGACAAAATGAATTATTTCAATTCCCTATACCTATAGACATTTTGATTAATTTGATAATGGCCTTATGTCCAAAAGAATACAAAATTATTTAAATTAATACTTAATCTCAAATATGAATCTTTACCAGTAGCAAATACTTTATGTCCCTCAACTGGAAAAAGTACAAAAGGCATCACTGATTTTTCTACTTAGCAGTTTAATAAATTTTGAATCATACATAGTTCACAGTTTGTATGTCTTACATAATTTCTAAGTCATGTAGCTTTTAAAAATTGTTACATATTATAGATAATAAAAAGCATATTCTTTGCTTTAATCACCTGATTTTTTGTTGTTGTTTATAAAATTAATCATAGTTAGCAGGGCAGAAATTGCTTTGAGCTTCATAAATGACATCCAAGAGATGGGAAAGGATTAGTTCTCAGTTGCTGCCAGTTATAGCGCCAGGTGGCTTTTTCTGCAGTGAAGGTGTTACCGGTAATCCCATTACACTGGTACTAAATCTTGCAGACATCAAAATTATCACCAAGGTTCCTTTTCATCCCATCCCTTCCAAATGACTGGAAGTCGCTTCACCTGAAAGAAGTCAAATCCACATGCAGCTGCTGTTTTAGCAGGCAGCAAACTCCCTGAGAATGCCAGTCGTGATTCAATTTTACTGTGCTGGTGGCCCCCTATTCCCTGTCCAATAATACATCTGTTAAAAAATCCTACAGCTACAAATCAAGTTTAATCCTACCAGGGACCTCATGTTGGTCTTGTCTTCCAAAAAGGCAGCAGGTTCTGCTGTCTATCTCTCCTAGCATCTGGGGAATACCCTTTAAATCCCAGCCCTACTTAGAAGAATAAGCTAAGGATCACAAAACATGACCTCAAAAACCCTGATATGACTATATTCTGACCCAGAGGCATTCATTCTAGGTGAAGATTAGAACTTTGCATAATAAGATTACACAGCAAGTGAATGATATCAAGGGACTATCCATATGCAGCCGCCTGGTTTTGTATAGACAGCCTGTGCTCTACAATATGCAGTGCAGACGAAAAAGAGCTTCGTCCTTCTAGCTGAAATAAAATAGATTCACATAAATTAGCTGGCCATTTCCAGATTCCTAAATCCCCTATTACATCTTTTATTGACAGCTCCTGTGAGGATAGCACAAATGTTATTCCTTTTTATTCTGTGCTTCTATAACAATCATGCTCTGTAATTGAAATGTACATAGATTATGTCTAGAAATTAACATCTTGTTTGCTGTAATCTTGGATTACAATGGACTGTGTACATAATAAAATTAGGAAATCAATGAATGGATTTATCATCTCCAAGAAACTAGAGGTATTGTTTAAAGAACAGTTTAACATTTTGTGCCAGTACTTTAACTGCAGAAGTCACAGGGGTAGTCAATAATAATTTAAATGAGTCAAAGAATACAACAGGCATCAGCTAATATCTACATAAAAATCAGATTATATAAAAATTAGGTCATATCCCTCAAAATTTTAAAAATGTGAAAAATTCAGACATCTCATGAATATATGGTTTTCTCTAAACCATACTTGAGTGAAAAAGTAACCCAAGAAGGTCTGTACTTTTTATAAAGTAAGTACATCTGCAGTATTTTATACACATCATCTTGATAACTTTATGACTATACTTTAAAATATTTGAGTCAATTCAAATCGATTGTAATTCAAGATTTTATAATTCTTAAATATGTTTTTAAAATACTAATCAGTGAAGTAATCTCTCCTCACATTTGATTATGTACAGAGCATTTTAAATGTATAGAATCCTACAAATATTTAGAAAACGATGTTTTTAATCAGCTTTATTTTTTTTCCCCAAGAAGTTTACAGCAATACCAGCTCTAGGCAAACTTATATAAAAAGAGAGATTCATAAACATTCTCACCAACACCAGTACAGAAAAATTCTAAGAATGTGAAGAGAAGTTCTTAGCTTTATCTTAAAAAAAAAAAAAAGCTATCAAGACTTGCCATGGGATTCTTGTAAAACTAAGCTCCTCAGTGTACTTGAAATGGCTTTCTTGATAAGTTTGATTTGTCTACAATTTTTGAAGAATATTCCACATCCATTACATTAGCCATTACCTCCTCATCATCACAATATCTTCAAGAATATGTACACAATATCTGATAGGTATGCAGGAGTACGGTGACATCATTCTGAGTTTATGTACTAGACAGATATATACCAAAGGTATCAGTGGCAGAGCTATAAAAACACACCGCAATTTCAATCACATAGCACATGAATATTCTTTGATTACCTGAGTAGGACATTACTGGAAAAATAGAAGGAATGCAAAAAATACATATTTTTGTTATGATATTTTGTGATGCCTGTGTAATACTTTAGAGCCACACTGTCTAAAAAGGCAACCACTAGCTCCATGTGGCTATTGAGGACCTGAAATGCAATAGTCCAAATTGAGATGCACTGTAAGTATAAAATACATACTGGACTTTGAAGACAAAACAAAAAAAAGGAAAAGCAAAACATTTTATTAATAATTTTTATATTGATTACATGTTTTTTGTTTGTTTGTTTTGTTTTGTTTTGTTTTGTCCTTTTTGAGACTGGCTGCACCACGCTCAGCCAGTGAGCGCTGTGAGCGCACCGGTCATCCCTATATAGGATCCAAACCCGCAGCGGGAGCACTACTGCGCTCCCAGCGCCGCACTCTCCCGAGTGCGCCACGGGCTCGGCCCTGATTACTTGTTGAAAAGGTAATATTTTGAATATAGTTGGTTAAATAAAATGCATAAGTGATTCACATTTTATTTCTATTGAACATCACTGCTTTAACAGATCATACAGTTCTCAGTAATAATAGTTCCTAAGCTAAATGAAATTGTACAACTAATAAAAATATTCAAGTAGAGGGTTGTTACATAAGAACAAACACTCCAGTGTCAAATCTGATAGGTAACCTTAGTAAACAAAGTATAAAATCCTGTCATTTTAGCCTCTATTTCATAATTCTAGCTTAAGGGCAGTGGTAGGAGAAAAGGGGAACTGCCAAATTGCTGACCATCATATACCAAAGAAGAATGATGTGTTCTAGTTACAAAATATAGTAAATACAGGTTTTTTTAAAAAACTGCCTCTCAGACAACTTTATAAAAGACTAGTGAGGTCTGTGTGTTGCCCCCTCAGTGAGCTCAATAGACAGCAACTTCAAACATGTCTGGATCTAGAAAGGGCCATGATTTTTTTCTATGGTGGTACACAGTTTATTATAGTCAAATTTTTAAAATATAGTACATTTAAGTAATAACTATAGATTTGATGCATTTAGCATATTTCAAAATGTTAGCAAAATTAAATAGATCAATTTTATAAATTATTAGTAAGCTGCTTTTCTATTAGTCTTTCATCATATCCATCTATGGAGTTTTTAAAAATCTTTTAATAAAAAGGATTTTATAGAAAAAGGAAAACTGAAAATAGTTAAAACATGAAACATATACCTAATTCAATTCAAGAAATGTGATGACTAACTTAGATGACCACAGACAACTGATATTATACAATTAAAACACAAAGTCTATCTTTACCACACATTGGAATATGATTTCAATACAAACAAAAGCATTTAGGGTATTAACACATTTAAAAGTTGCTTTTTCATAATCACTCCTTTATATTATTTATCTAAAATACTAACACTAAAGATGAAATATGGGTATCAGTAAATAAATGATAAAATTTAAATCAATTCTTTATAACCTGACCATGCCCCTTTTTTCTAGCCTTTAAAAATTATATAATTTTATTCCTTTTCTGGTTACAAGAATCAGACATTCACACACATACACACAAACACAATACACACAAGCAAAACAAAATATTAACAATAACAAAAAAAACTTTCTAACCATAAAGAGATGAGTGCAATGATATTCAGTTCAAAGTTAATCTCCAGACATCCAAATTCATGAATAAAAATTCATCAGTTTTAAATACACTGAGCCTATTAAGCAAGAACAAAAGCATATGCACAAAAGAGCTTTTAATATATTTCAAAGCCCACAAGAGCCATGGTCTCATTAAAATTATAAATTACACAAACATGGAATGAAGATTCAAACTGCAGTGCAGCTAAGCAGATTACAGAAAACCCCACGTTCCATATGATAACACACCATGGCCCTCCCAGATGGGGGCTTGGAACAAAAAGGCCATCACCACAGCTAGGGAAAACCTCCTTGTGATCTCTGGTTTCTGTTCAGCAGATGACAGCCAAATAATATGTTGATTATTCTGTTTGTGCTGCTAAGCTTGTAAGATGGAATAAAAGCGATATGATCTATTGTGAACCCAATGCTAATGTGTTGCTCCACTCATAAATAATATACTGAATTTATTTTGAAACTCTTTTATCTGAATTTCAGTTTTTAAATGCATGAATTAAAATAAAAGCCAGGATAAAATACTTAATTTGATGCTTTAAACTAAAAAATGTAATTGACAAGTGAAAAATATCTAAATGCTTAGTGAAGAATCAAGTACAATCACCTCTGTTTAATTACAGCACTGTGATCAGAGACAAAATACATTTCAAAATAGGCAATCACTCTCATTATTAAATATAAATATAAAATTAAGTAATAAAATAATCATGAAGTTAATGATATACATTACTGACAAGACAAAAACTAAAATCTCAGGGAATAGCGAGTTCTCTACAAATATACCTCAAAAAGTTAATGGAAAGATTCGTATTATCTTTTGATGCTATTTTTCCATGAACTTTTTGAAGTACCCTCATTAAATAATAGCACATAATCAGAACACATAGGGAAAATATTTCTGAACAATAAGAAGTATAATTGAAGGCCTCATAAATGTTTACAACTTGCACAAAAATGAATAATCAAAAGAAACCCTACATAAATAATTTAAAAGATGCTTATAAAAAATAATTTTCAAATGTAATAGCTAGCATTTTCTATTGCTTTGGTGACAAAAGTTAAAGCCTAATCTTCCCCTCAATTATTAAAATGTATATGTAATATCCTAAGTTTTAACAGAGTGAATAATGAAGTAACTGAGACTGTCTCTAAATACTTTACAAAATTTTATATTTCACAGATAAATGTATTTTTGAATATTGTATTGTTAAAAATATTAAAAATCATAACACTTATTTTCCTACCCCAGAAACTCCTCCCTGAATAATCTAGTAGACTCTCCTTTTAAACAAATAAAACAAAACAGGACATTAAAGCTGCACATAAGATAAGCACAGATAAACACACCATTTTCGTAAGGGAGTATTTTGTAAAAAGTACATAATTACGGTCATTAACCTAAGTCCACCTCCTTTTTCTCTGTCTCCAGATACAGATTCTTCAGTCCAAAAAGCACAGCATAATTGCATAATGTGAAAATACAGTCTAAAATTATAGCTCTAAAAGGTAAAACTAAAACACTTTTAGAGGAAAACTTAGAACATAAAACAACCTTGGAGTGGACAAATATTTCTTAAACAAGATGTAAAAACAACTAAACTAGACTACTTTAAAGTCATAAACTTATATTTATCA